AATTTTATTAGTCTCATCCACTTCCTTATTTAGATAAGGACCTCTTATTTCATGGTAAGTGGGAGGCTTCATTCCAGGTCCGTATTGACCAACGACCTCAATAAAGTCTCCAAAAGTGTCATAGTTGACACAATTGAAGGGGAGCCCAGCATCATAGACCCATCGTGCAAAAGCTCTAACTGCACGATCCCTCAAAATGTCTTTAGCAATTTTTTGTACATCTTTTCCACCGCCCTTTGCTCCCGGCTTCTTTGAGAAGTAGCAATCCATAGGACCTTTAGTCGATGATCCATGGCTTGACCCATCTCTTCCCCGTTTTGTTGGAAGTGACAATTCTTCAATATCATCATCATCATCATCATCATCATCAAGATTGGTCACCATTGGTTGATGAACCATTTGATTTTTTTGCTCCTTCTTCTCAACAAAGTTCTTTATTTTTTCCCTCACCTCCGGTGGACATTTCGGACAACTTGTGACGTTTCTATCGCCACCAATTAGATGGTATTTAAAGCGATAAATGCCACCCGTTGTAATCTTGTTGCAAAACTTGCATACAACATTTGTATTCTTCTCATTAACTCTCTCACCATAGCGCCAAGCCGGGTCTTTCTCTTTCGAACTTTGAGACATTTTAATATCCCTATTAAGATATAAGAAAAAACATAATCAATAAACTGAAAATACATATAATATATATAATAATTAATTATATAAACTGAAATATACATTTAAAAAATCACATAAACTAAAAATAATACATATATATAATTAATTTTATATGCTGAAATATAATAAAAATTTAATTTTATATGCTGAAATATAATAATAATTTAATTGTATATGCTGAAATATAATAATAATAAATGAAATACATATAATAATTAAATATATATGCTGAAAATATACACAAACGAAAAGGAAAAAGAAAGAAAAAATTGTTCCTTAGTCCTTACTCTGTTCTGGACCGGAGAAACAGAGAAAGAAAGAAAGAAAGAAGAAGAAGAAGAATGAAAAAAAAACGAGAAGAACTGAAGAACAGAAGAAGAAAGGAGAAAGGAGAAGAAGAAATTACTTGGGTCAGCAATGGCGAGTGTCGCGAGCGAGAAAGGAGAACTCGAGCGAGAGAGAAAGCGTCAGCAATGGCGTCTCTGCTTTTGGATTTCAGCTTCAGCAGGTAAAAAACCCTAGGTTTTGTGAGTCAACTCTGTTTTGTCGAAGGGGAAGGGGTTTTTGGTCGATTTAGGGTCTGTTTTGTCTAATAAAATAACAGACCCAAAGTTTTTTTTTAAAAAAAAAAGACCCCCTGCGCTTTTCTGGAAAGAAGCGATCGCTTCATCGCTTTATCCGCTTCGTCGCTTCATCGCCTTCTCCTGTGAAGCGCTCGCTTTCTCAGATCGAGTCGCCTCAAGTGTGCTGGAAGCGACAATAGGTCGCGTCGCGTCGCTTCGCGCTTAAAGCGACGAAGCGCGCGCCTTTCTAAACACTGGTTGTGAATACATTTGTTTCTAATTCTAAAAATGTGCTCCCTATGTCCTTCAAAACAAGCCTGGTTCCTTTCCAGCCATAAAGTCCAGAAGATGCATAATGGGATGGTTCTCCATATTTGCTTCAGTCTTCTAGGTACTCTTTGACTATGCCACTCTTCCCACAAGCTCCTAACAGTCGGTGGCATCACCCAAGAAATTCCACATATGTTCAAGAATAAATCCCAACATTGTCTAGCAATTCTATAATGAAGCATAATATGATTCACTTATTGATCTCCTTCACACAAATAGCATCTATTGCTAAGATTAAATCCTCTTTTTTGCAAATTGTCTTGTGTCAAACATGCTTC